TTCTACTTATCCAGGCCCCTAAATTCTGCTGCTATGGGCGAAAACCTGAGATGAGGTCGACCAGGGATTCCTGGCTTGGCCTTTGGAGTTCGACGAAGTGTTTTGGCCCGCCCGGATATTAGAGTCTGAAACTGAGGCAAACTGCAGTGCCATTCGGATCAACGAAGGCGGTGTCTTTTTTCGTGCGAGTCGTCAGGGCATCATGGTCGACTCGCGTAGTCGGAGCGATGATACAGCCGAATGAAGTGCATATGTGGGGCAACCGCCCCGTCACGGCCCCACATGACGTGGACATGTGATTGCACGGCGGACCTCCGCCAGGGGCATACTCTGCCTGAGACGCGGGCAGAGGAACGCTTGTTTGCGAAGCCCACACCTTTGAAGCCCTCGTCCGACCCACTTGCGTTTCAAAGTACATTGGATGCTACTGAGCTGTCCGAGATGCTCTTCGGGTTAAGACTACCCCAACCCTAAATCCTAAGCCCCTTAACCCTAACCTAAACCCTAAACCCCTAAACCCCCCAAACCCCTAAACCCAAGCTTCGCGTCTGAGGCAGGGCCACAGCAGCTTCTGTCCCTGGAGGAGCTCCCAGGCTAAGGGTTTAGGGTTTAGGGTTAAGGGGTCCAAGGTTTAGGGTGTAGGGGTTTAGGGGTTTAGGGTTTAGGGGTTTAGGTTAGTTGGGGCCCTTATTCTAATTATAGTATAATAGGCCGGCCCCAAAACCCTATTCTATCGGTGTCTTGGGCCCAGCGCTAAGATGTACGATTTGTTGCCGGTGTCTTGGGCTCGAAAGTGGGGTTCAGCCGGTGGTGCCACGAAAATGGCCGTCTCAGAATAAGCAGCAGAAATCTGGGGCATCTACAAAGCTCAACATCAGAGTTTATGCATAATGCATCAGATGTACCTCTCAAAGCTTACAGCTTTACAAGCCCCGCCCGTCGCTCTCAACAGCCCTGGACAGGTCGTGCTGAACGATCCGCTGCGTGAGTGCGACCAGGACCCTGCTGCTTACCGGGGTTCTGGAGTACCATACTTGAATACTTTTTTTTGGGACCTGTTCCTTAAGGGAAGGAACCATTATGAAATTACAGTCTATACTTTTTTCTCCCTGGTTGCTTTAAAGTCTAGTTACTGCTTGCTTGGAGGATCATGCGACTCAGTAAGAAAGGTTACAAGTACTTGAATTGGGTTCAAAAGTGATGATAAGTATAGTTATGCCATAAATGACCCTAGCTGCGAAGTTATGATCCTTTACCTCAGAGTTTACCATCCCTCAGCCGAGGAATATTTAGGGTCTGGGGTTCAGCGTTTTGGGGTTTGGGGTTAGAGTTTGGGGTTGCATAGGCGCAAGCCATTAAGACCTACCGTCTATGGGGATATTACCTTGTACAGTTCATCTTGAGGTGCTGTTTTGAACCTTCCCCAATGCACCTATAGGGAGTGTGAATACCGCTTAGGGCACTTTTTTGGAATCAAGGTGTGTTGGGCTCCATGGGTTAATGTCTCGTGAGTGTACGCTTCGCAGATTGAGGGCTGGAATCAGACTCCTCTCCTAAACCCTAAACCCTAAACCCTCAACCCTAAGCCTAAACCCCAAACCCTAAACCCTAAACCCCAAACCCGCGCTTTTTTCCGTTGGCATCTCGAGCTTCTGCTTCAGGACCGTGATACTCCACACCCTAAACTTGAGACCCCTCATGGCTTCATTAGGGTTTAGGGTTTAGGGGTTTAGGGTTTAGGGTTAAGTTTTTTTTTTGACAGTGCCTTTGGGGTACCTTAGATCATCATGTGCAGGCCCCCTATAATTGGAGGCATAACCCTTAACCCTAAACCGTAAAGCCTGAACCCGAATCCTCTAAACCCTAAACCCTAAGCCCTAAACCCTAAACCCTAAACCCTAAACCCTAAACCCTAAACCATCCTTAACTCCGGGGTCTGGGGCTCTCCGGAACTCGGAGGCCGTGGCCGACGACGTGGAGAAGCGTAGACTCGGCCGCCTGGGCGTGAGGATTCGACTTCCGATTTTTTTTCGGGATTTAGAGTTTAGCGTCTAGGGTTTAGAGTTTCGGGTTTGGGGGCGGCGTATGGGCCGGGAATTTGGATGGTTTTGAGTGGTGTCGTGGCTTGAGAATTTCGGGAGTGTGTGCATCTGTGTGTGTGTGTGTGTGAGGCGTGGACGCATTTTTGTTGGTCGTTCCGGGTTCAGCAGTCTCGTTAGGCCGCAGGCGTTTTGGAGAAGGTTTGAGGGGTAGTGGTTTGCTGGTTTGGGTGAAGTCCCTCAGGCATTACGCATGAGAGCGCTCCGTTTTAACAGCAAACCAAAATCTAAAACCTTCATACCCAAATCAACTAACCCCAGAAACCCTAAGTTCTAAACCCGTAGGCCATCGAGTTTCAGAGCCATCCGTGGCACCCCTTTAAAACAACGCGGTGAACCGAAGCTGCAGCAACAGCCTCGGGAACGACCACCCTCAACAATAACACCTAACCCCTAAATCCGTAACCCTAAACCCAAGCCCCTGAACCCTAAACCCGTAACCGGTAACCTTAAAACCCTAAACTTTAAACCCTGAACCCTGCACCCTAAACCCAACCCCAGCCCGAGATCGCAGCCGACAAGTCACGGCCCGAAGCAATATTCGAGCCCTTCCCAAGCCGCGCGCTTGTCGCGCCGATCCCCCGATTCCCAAAGCCCCAAACGCAAAGCCCAACTGGTACCTGGAAGGGTTTTCACTGTAGTTGCCCTTGTTGCAACCATGAGTTTTGTGTACTTCTCCCACGTAGACATATACAGAAACTTATGAAAGCCTAGATTGCCTGTGCAACTGGGAAGACTCTACAGCATCACAGTCACGTGGCGACCAAGTCCTACAATTACCCTATCTCGTAGCAGTGAAACCCCAGCACTAATTCCGAAACCCTAAATCTTAAAGCTCGTGTTCCTAAAGCATTCAGTCTAGACGCAATTTCTTCAACTTTACATCTTCACACTCTTCGTCGAACCATGTTAGACACGAGACGATAGAAAACATACTCCAAAGACTGTATCCTGAACCCCTCATGTGAACTCTTAAAATCGTCTGCAAACCCAAGGAAAGCTAGAACTCCTGTACCCTCTAAACCTAAACCCTAAACCCTAGACCCTAGACCCTAAGCACTAAACCCCTAAGCCCCTGAACCCTAAACCCTAAACCCTGAACCCTAAACCCTAAGCCCTAAACGCTGAACCCCTAAACCCTGAACCCTGAACCCTAAGCCCTAAATAAACCCTAGACCCTAAACCCTAAACGCCAACCCCTCACCCTCACTTAGGGGTACTTAGAAATCATTTTTAATCTTTGGTTACTATAAACCCTAAGAAGCAGCTAAAATTATAATTTTTGCTAGGGGTCTAAGTTCAGTATAGCTCAACCAAGGTCTCCTCAAGGGCCTCCGCCACATCCCCGTGGTTTCAGCGGAAGGGAAGGAGGTCGATGATGCTGCCAAGGCACTTGGGGGGCAAAGCCTTGAATTCTGAAATTTGGGGGCCTATATTACCGATACTCTCTTTGGGGTTCCTTATTATAATTATATATAGCATAATATACCCCCAAAACCCTATTCTAATTATGAAGGCCCCTATATTAGCCTTCCTAAACTCCACAGACTAAGCGCAAAGCTCCCAAACTTCCCTGTACTCCCTAAACCCAAACCCTCCAGTCCCTAAGCCATGGATGTCCGTAAGCCTGAACCCTGAACCCCTCAACCTCTAAGCCCTAAGCCCGAAACCCCAAATCCTAAACCCCAAATCCTAAACCCTAAATCCTAAACTCCTACAAAGTAAACCCCGCAACAGGCACTGGCGCTGGCTGGCTGGGAGTTCTACGAATCACCCGAGGATCAGACCGAAATGCAGCACGTCACCAAAGACGGGGGGTGCTCGGGTGTAGAGGATGTTGAGGTGGACTCTATGGCTTCCTTTAAGGGTTCCTTCAATGGTAGCGAAAATGGGTCGATAAGGTTTCTTCAGCGTTTAAGGGTGTGTAGGGCTTGCGGTCTATAAGGGCTTATGATATGTGTTTTGTGTTTAGAGTCTAGAGGTTTTGGTGCGTTGGGGTCAACCCCCTCACCGCCTCAAGCCCGAAACCCTGAACGCTAAACCCCAAACCCCAACCAAAATCCCAATCTCTAAACCCTAAACCCCAAACCTGCCCCTCCCCCCTGGTTTGGTTCAGGCCTTCTTCCACTGGTTGTGACCCCGCCGTGTGGAAGCTTGGGAGTTTAGTCTCTCCTTTCCTGTTGTGGAACATACCCCTCCGCACAGGCGCCCCGAATCCATGTACTTGAGGGGATACCATGGGGGGGAGGGAGTGGGGGCGCAGAACGCACAGCACACAACCAAATGGTTGCACATTGAATTATGGAAGTAGGTCTACTAGTTAAGGATTGTCTTTTGGAGCCTCAGTTTCGATGTAAATCCCAAATTCCAAACCCCAAGCAAACCCTAAATCCAAGATACAAAACCCCGGCTTCCATGAACCCGAATTAGACCATATCAGACCCCAAACCCCAAACCCTAAACCCTAAACTCTAAACCCTAAACCCCATAAGATTTAAGGATGGCCTGGTGGACCCCTAGGTTTCGATGCTACATCTGCCTACGGACGCACTCGGTCTTCGCCTTCCTACACCGGCCGGTGGAGCCCGAGGATGCAGGTCGGAGAAGTAGTAGAGGATTCCTTTTAGGGCTCCCAGGTAAGGGTAGAGGATTCCTTTAAGGGCTCCTTGTTAAAGGGTGGTAGAGGATTCCTTTAAGGGCTCCTTTTTAGGGGTGGTAGAGGATTCCTTTAAGGGCTCCTGTAAGGGTAGTAGAGGGTTTTTTTAAGGACAGGGTAATAGAGGGTTGCTCTAAGGGCGCCTTTGAGGGTAGTAGAGGGTTGCTTTAAGGACTCCTTTGAGGGTTTAGGGTTTAGGGTTTGGGGTTCCCTTTTGAGGGCTCCTAAGTAGCGGAGGGTTCCTTTAACGGTAGTAGAGGGTTCCTTTAGGAACTCCTTTGAGGGTTTAGGGTTTAGGGTGAGAGTTCCTTTCAGAGCTCCTAACTAGTGGAGGGTTCGTGTAAGGGTAGTAGAGGGCTCCTTTAAGGGCTCCTTTGAGGGTAGTACGGGCTTCCTTCAAGGGGCCCCAAACCCTAAACCCTAAACCCTAAACCCTAAACCCTAAACCCTAAACCCCAAGCCCTAAACCCTAAAGCCTAAACCCCAAGTCCTTCAGGAGGGGGCGGAGAGCCTCCCGACAAGAAGCAGCGAACACGGCCGCCTCCCGAGGTGCTCGAAATTTGGGGTTTTTCAGGGTTTCAGGGTTTCAGGGTTTCAGGGTTTTCAGGGTTTAGGGTTTTTCAGGGTTTCAGGGTTTCAGGGTTTTCAGGGTTTCAGGGTTTACGGTTTTTCAGGGTTTCAGGGTTTAGGCTTGAGAAGAGTGCAAGTGTTTGAAGGTCTGCATGTTTCAGGCCCAGGGCTTCAGGGTTTTCGGTGTTCAAGGGCTTAGGGTTTAGGGTTTAGGGTTTAGAGTTTAGGGTTTAGGGTTTAGGGTTTAGGGTTTAGGGTTTAGGGTTTAGGGTTGGGCTTCATGGTTTTTATGGCTTAGTTAGGGTATTGGGACAAAAGCCCTAACTAAACCCTAGGGTTTCTTGTCGAAGCCTCTTTGAATCTGCTCCAGGCGGTGAGCCCTTGAGCCTTCCCAGGGTTTAGGGTGTAGGGTTTAAGGCTTAGGGGTTTAGGGTTTCAGGTTTAGGGGTTTGGTTTAGGGTTTAAGGTATAGGGGTTCAGGGTGTAAGGTTTAGGGGTTTAGGGTTTAAGGTTTGGGGGTTTAGGGTTTAGGGTTTAAGGTCTAGGGGTTTAGGGTTTAGGGGTTTAGGGATGTTATAGGGTGTAGGGGGACACCTCCGATCAGCCCCAACGTATCGAAACTTGTAGCAAATAGACAAGGCCGGTCTTAACCCGGTACTGCAATGGTAGGATACATTCTTTGGGGTAGAGTAACCCTTGTAGAACCTCATTATAGATCCTTGTACAGGAACTCCTTAAAGGCATCATTACGGCTCCTATACCTGGGTGTGCGTTTTTCAGGTTTAGGGTTTAGAGTTTCGGGTTTAGGTTTAGGGTTTAGGGGCTTCATTAGGATTTAGAAGTCCAGGTTTTCGGGTTTAGGGCTTAGGGTTTGGAAGCTTGGGTTTTAGGGCTTGGGGTTTAGGGTTTAAAAGTTTAGGGTTGAGGGTTTCGAATTTATTGTTTCGAGTTTCGGGGCTGGATAAACCCTAAACCCTAAACCCTAAACCCTAAACCCTAAAACCCTAAACTGCAAACAGCCCAAGCCCGACACCCGTCGTTACCAGAACCCCAAAAGCTCAACTAGACACCTTGTGCACGAAGCCCAGTTCTGTTTAGGGTTGAGGGTTTAGGGTTCAGGGGTTTCCCAAAGAAGACCTACGCCCTTAACCTAAGCCCGAAGTCCCAAATGCTCCGATATCGATTGTTTGGTTCAGAACCGTCACGGAGATCCTAAACCCTAAACCCTAAACCCTAAACCCTAAACCCTAAACCCTAAACCTTAAACCCTAAACCAGATGTAGAAGCAGAGAGGTGCCATACTCGAGCGCGTGGACGCCCGAAGTCCGAGCAGCTCATCTTTCCTTCAAGTATCGGGAGATCGGGACCCTAAACTTAACCCTAAGCCCTACAAGCCTTACTTCCTAGACCTGTAGCCCTAAAGCCCAGACCCTAAACCCCCGACATCCCAAACCCCAAACGAGCTTTCGGGCTGACTTGTGGTGTTTTCTAGCAGATCTCTGGAGGAGTAACGCGGGGTCCAGAACCCTGCGCTCTACGTAAACCCCCTGACCCTAACTCCTAAGCTGGGTGCTCGAAGGGTTTGCTGGTTGTGTCTAAGCGGTTTAGGGTTGTCATGAGGGGTTTAGGGTTTAGTTTTTAGGGTTTAGGGTTTAGGGTCGAAGCGGTTTAGGGTTGGAATGCCCTGAAAGCTCAGGAAGCTTGGGGGTGCAGACGCCTTGGCTTGAGGGTTGAGGGCTTCAGGCTTGACGGCTTTTATGACGTAGGGTCTAGGGCGGGTGTCACGTCGACGTTAACTAATACGGCTGATGGTATACATCCTGCATTACCCATAGTACGAAATATACCATGGACTTCCATAGTCTGGGGCCTTTAAGGTCATGCAGGATTTACAATATCGACAGTAGTATCCTTGCACCTGTTTGTTTGAGGGTCTCCGAGTTCAACGTAAGCAGTCGGAGAAACCCGATAGGAGCCACGAGCCCGAATGCNNCAGTTGCGCGCCCGATAGCAGCAGGATTATGAGTTCTATAGGTTTCGCGACCAGGACCCCCTCCATCCCCATGAGTGTTGACACTTTTGGAACGCGAGGTCCAAAAAGTGACGACAGTTCTGCGTTTCGCGACGATTTTCCGCTCCCAGAAAAGCAGCCTGGGGGCTGGGGGCTGGGGCGCGACTCGCGAACGCTTGCGCACGCTTGCGGACGCTTGCGGACGCTTGTGGACGCTTGCGGACGCTTGCGGACGCTGCGCACACATTCCGCGTGAACTCCTAACCCCCAGACCGCCAACCTTCAAACGAGAGCCCTTCTGCTACGCGTTCGGGAAAATGAAAGCGCAGAAACACAAAACGGAAGAGTTGGACTGGACTTTAGGACTTTAGGGTACCTTCTGCTCCAGAACTTACAGTCAATGTTAACCCTAAAGCTTCCATCGGGTCCAGGTGAGGGTTTGGGTTCATGATCCCTCGCACAGAGTCGAGAGCCGAAGCCAGCAACACGAAAACCCCAAGTCAATTAAGCCCTCAAGCCCTAATGTAGAGGCCTGAATAATTAGGATAGGATGTTGGGGTCCTTTATACTATAACTATGATAGGGAACACCCCCAAAATAGTACTCATAATGATTTAGGGCCCTACATTAAACACCTCAAATCCTCAAGGGTTTCCGGTAGCGGTCATACAGCTCCTTCGGTTGCTATCTTCTTCAGGGCTTTGGGGTTCCCCCGGCATCTATCCCCACACCATCACATCTGCGGCCCGAATTTCACAAAAGCCTTTGGAGTCATCGCTAAACCGTAGACCATTTCCATCCAGGTTACATCGCCCCAAGCGTCGCAGACTGATGCTACGACGAAAGGTATGTTCGCCCCTCGACAAGACAACCCCGTTCTCTTGAAGGGTCTTACAGGCAGGATCCCTAGAATGATCCTTATCAAGGGAGAGGGGGCCAATCCCTAAGGCCTAAACCCTAAACCCTAAACCCCAAAGCCCTAAACTCCTAAAACCCTAAATCCCTAAACCCTAAGCCCAAAAACCTTAAACCCTAAACCTTAAACCCCTAAACTCCCCAACCCGTAAACGCCCACACAAAAGCCTGATCTGTGATTTCGCCTTTGAGAAAGCCCGGCCAGGTTTCCCCAAAGCTATGGCGGTATAGCCCTGATCTAACTTCCCAGAGAGTTCGATACCGCCTCATAGAAGGAACATAGCTTTGCTTAAAATTTTGGACCATGATTTAACGTCATGTTTAATATGATATCATATAGGCCTCTGCAATTTGAGGTCTATTCCTTCAGCTAAGGGGTACTGTATTTTCGGGGTTGCTCAGAGGCAACTTCCGGGGCAGCTCCCAGAAAACCCGCAACCAGAGCCCATGAATCTCCAAAACTCGGGCCCCAAACCCTAAGCCCATGAATCTGCGAAACTCGGGCCCCAAACCCCAAACCCTGGGTTTGGTAGAGGGCTTTATGGGGGGTGCGGGTGGTTCGGAGGTTTGCGAGTCTACGGATTTGCGGTTGAGCGCTTAGTTAGCTGCATACAGTTGTAGGCTGTACTCGACAGGCAACTTGGCAAGTGTGATGGAAGCTTCGGCACGCTCTTATGAGCTGATATAGGGGCCTACATAAATACCTATACTATCTTGGGGGTTCCTTATTATTATAACCAAAGTATAATATAGCCTACGCCCTTAAACCCTGAAGCCCCCCAAACCCTAAACCCTAAACCCTCAAGCCCAAACGTCCCCAAACCCTAAACCCAAAAGCTTTCGAACATCCTCGCGAAGGATCCCTACACCTCCCACCGCTTCTACTGCCCCTTCTACTGCCGGCCCGAGGCGCGCTCTTGGGATTAGTGAGGTAGTATTAGGGAGACCCCTTAAAGGGGACCCTTCTGAACCCTAAACCCTAAACCTTAAACCCTAAACTGTAAACCCCTTAAAAGGGACCCTTCTGAACCCTACTTATGGCTCTCTCAAAAGGGACCTTATCCCAAGGAGGAGGATCGTGGGACAGTAAATAAGGTTCCTTGAAGGGTTCCTCATAGGCTTCCCTAAATGGATCTATGAACTTAGTAAGTAAGGTCCTAAGTCGTACCTTAGTCGGTGGATGATAAGTAGTTGTAAGTATAGTTGTCTCAATGATGACCCTACTTACTAAGTCCCATGATCCTTTAAGTAGGGGGTTTGTGCGCTTGCGGGGCAAATTTTCCGCGTTCTTTTGGAGTTTGGGGTTTATGGCTGTCGGCTCTGGCATTCGGTTAATACGATTTACGGCTTTTGAATGTTGCGGGCTTCGGTTTAGGGTTTACGGTTTAGGGGCTTAGGGTTTAGGGGTTTAGGGGTTTAGGGTTTAGGGTTTAGGCTTTAGGGTTTAGGGCAGGAGTCTCTTTGACTCAGCTGGGGCTTCGCAAGGCGCCAGGGTGCCAAGTGTCTTCAGACGAGCTGCCAACGGAAGTGCTTGGTTCACCCAGCTTGTCGAGTTCTGCAAGAGTCGACAATTCTTGAGCTCGTGTGTTGTAGATTGTAGGGTTCGGGGTTCACAAGGCCCTAAACTCAAACCTTATCTCCTAAATCGCAGACTCTTAATCGCTCTTCCTTCCCCTGCCCTGCCCGAACAGAGTCAATCCTAAAGGATTTCATCAACCCCAGACCCTTGCAAACCCGAGTTTATATTTAATGTGAGCCGTGCACCCAAAGAGCCCAATACCCTAAATGCTGGAATACACCTGAACATAAAATACGTAGCGCCTTCGTTGATAATTTCGGGTATATTCTTGAACTGAGGGCGAACTGGGCTACCACCGAGCCTTACATAGCTGTAGCAGATCCTACGCAACCTTGTACAAGTCCAAAAGCCTAAACCCTGAACCCTAAACCCTAAACTCTAAACCCTAAACTCCCTACATTCTGGACCCTCAAGGCGACGTTGCTTAAAGCATCCTAAAGTCTGCTGCCCTAAACCCTGAACCCGCAAGCCCTCGGGCCCTATACCCTAGGCCCTAACCCCCTAACCCCATAAACCTTACTTCTCTAATAGCCAGCCTTTAACTTTTTGGGCTGCAGCATTTCGGTCCGTCGCGTTATTAGCGACATCAGGTGCAGTCCCTGGGAACAGAGGTGCAGCCCCGCATTTGTATTTAGAAAACGTTGACACATCTTGCTATTTCTACTGTGGATCTTATAACTTAGTAGTAATCTGAAAGTTTAACCTTTGATTTCTCTGGTTTGGATCTTATAACTTACAGGTAATCTGAAAGTTTAACCTTGGATTTCCCTGGTTTGTTGGGGAAGTATGGCACGCTTTCAAAGGCCGGGTCGGGCCCAGCCCAGCTCGGAGATCAGCCGTCGGTCAAAGATTCGGAGGCAACCCCTGGAGCCCCAACCCCAAGCCCTACTGTAAGCCCCTCTAAACCCTAAACCCTA